CCCAATCAAGCCTCAGGATGACTGCAATCCCTGCTCACACCTTGATTGCAACCTCATTAAAGACTCTGAGTTAGAACTACCCAACTAAACCACTCCCAGATTTCTGGCCCACAGAAACTGTGAGATAATAAATATTTGATGTCTTAAATTACTATGCTTTGGGGATGAGTTGTTACAATGCAATAGATAATACCAAAACAAAACAGAAAGTACAAATACAAAAAAAGGAAATGTGCACATTTGTTTTCTTGTATCTTCATCAACATTGGATATCCCTAGTTTTACATTCTCCTGTATTTAATAGGGAAATAATATTTCTTCACTGCCTTACATTTATTTAATTTCTAGTGAGGTTGAACTTTTTAATTTTGTTCTGCTTTTCAAATTTTTCTTCTGACATGTATTTCTTTTTTCATGTCCTTTATTTTTCTATTGAAGTGTTTATCTTTTTCTATTGTTATATAGAGCTTGTCACATGTATTAAGAGTATCATCCCATCTCTGACCTTTACACTGTATAAGTTTTCCCTACTTGTCATATTTCTCACTTACTTTTGCTTATGCTACTTTAGAATCAAGAGTTTTCAAATTTTTATATACTCAAAGCCATTAGTCTTGTCCTTTACAGATTCTACCTTTCTTTGTTTGCTCATAAAGATGTCTACCCACCACTACTCTGGGTTAGATGCTCTAATCATGTTTTCCTCTAGATATTTTATGGTTCTAAGCTTAAGTTTAAACCTTTAATTTAGCTGAAACTGTGGTGTGTACAAAGGAATTTATCTTTTTGCAGATTAATAGAGGAATGGTTAACTTTAAAAATGAACAAAAGAAAAAAACATATCCAAATGAAAAACAATATAAAAATGATATATGTAAATTTGTTCATTATTATCATTAATAGCTACAAATTATCAATTAGCTAGAATCAATGTGCCAGATCTATAGGTAGGTCAGAATATGTGCCAAATAATCAAAATGCTAGTATTAACATCTCCATTTTGCAGACAAAGAATATGAAGCTGGAAAGGTTAAATGACTTGCCTAAGGCCACACAGCTAATAAGCGGTGAGTCAAAATTAGTTATTAATATGCTAAAGTAGTAATCCGGTCTTCTATTAATGAATGTAATAAGATCCCTTTATCAGCTGCAAATAATTATCAAATTATCTTCCATTTTAGCCTTAGCTACATGGGTATAGTTTTAGATATGACTACATTAGGGTCTAAACAAAATTTCTAAAACTCTAAAAAGATTCATTAATAAATAGTTTTGTTCTGTGAATCTAGAATAATAATAATTTAAAAATCAGCAATTGTGTTTGGGAATGGAACATTAACATTTTTAGAATCAATATCTCTTCTTAAAAGTAATTTGAGTTTGAAACACAAAAGTATATGCATTATTTGCTAGCTATAAATGGTATTGTTGGGAATAATTAGAACACTATAAATTGCTAGAAAAGAAGAGGTAAAAGGACAGCAGAGTGGAAGTAGATATTTAGGTACCTGAATTTTGGGAGGGAAAAGAAGAAAATATACTTATACCCTGGTCCTGTTCTACGTCTGTTACCTAAAACATAAAACAATTATATTATATTCTTGGGTAATAGACATCAGCTTTGTTCAGGTATGTCTCAGAATGAAGTTCTCATGTGCAGGTACAGGCCAAAGAGCTACAAGGATATTTTGGTACAGTCTCAAAATTCTATTTTAGTTTTACCAAAATGTATAAATTTTGGTTTTTCTGTGACTCACTCTGGCTCAGGAATATAGTGAAGTCAGAAACAGGTCAAGGGGAAAGCTACGGTGAATCTCAGAATGAAGGTAGAGAAAGATATTTTTAAATGCTTTATTTGATGACTATGTCAAATTCTCTGCTTAGGAAGCAAAAAAGTATATAGTCTTAGTTGAGTTAGCGAATGGGGTTGAGATTTTGGTCAGTGTGCCAACAAATAACTACTCATGGAAATGCTATTATGTTTATTTTAAAATTTAAATTGTATCAAGCTCCCTAAATCTCTCAAATGGTTCAGGTTGTAATGAATAATAGCTCAACTATGTAATTCGAGGATACTAGAGAAAGAAGGGTACTATGTTTATAAGTCAGGGTTCAATAAGGAGATAGAAGGCACATAGTAATTTTAACAGGTAATATTTAATATAAGCAATTAGTAACAGAGGATTAGAGTGATGAGAGATTGGCTAATAAGAATTAAGAGAATACTAAAGAATATATAAATAGCAGATACAGGGAGCAACCAGTATGCCTAGGCCTGAAACAAAGCCCAAGAAGAGGCTTGACTCCACAAGAGATACGGGCCACACCAAAGAGGGCACAGCCATGGCTCACTGGATGATGCAGAGGTCCCTGAGGCAGTGCACCAGAGAGATTCACCAACAGGGTTGCCTCAGGGAAGTGCCGAGTTGGTGACACTCTACTGAAAGGTCGTACACAGTGAATATGCTCAGGGAAATGATTCACAGGTAGATGCCCAACTGGAAGTATTCTGCTTTGAAGCTGCCCAAGGTAGGTGCCAGGCACTGAATAGTAGATCTGGAATCTGGAACTGAGAGGGAATATATTGCTAACTAGTACACTATGAGTTCTAGGTTAAATTGTGTCCTCCAAAAAGGTATGTTGAAGTACCAACCCCTAGTATCTGTGAATGTGACCTTATTTAGTTTTCTGCAGATATAATCAGAGACTATTAGGTCATTGCATGGGTACTACTCCAATATGACTGGTGTCCTTGTTAGGAGAGGGAAATTTGGACACAAATACACACAGAGATTCAGACACAGAGGGAGATGGCCATGTGGAGATGGAGGCAGATAGCTGTGCTGCCGTAAGTCAAGAAATGTCTGGGGACCATGTGAAGATGGAATGGCAAAGAAGAGTACTGCTCTAGAAGATCTGGATGGAGCACAGCACTGCTGACAGTGATTTCAGACTTCTGGCTTCCAGAACTAGAAAGAATACACTTCTGTTGTTTTAAGCTTCCCGATTTATGACACTTTGCTACAGCAGCCCTGAGAAATTAAGTAGCTTAGCATTAAGCTTCATTCATTTAAATAACTTAACATTTTTGAGATCATGATGGTGGAATTCTGAGGCAAACATGAACAGATACCATTTGATGAATCTAATTTATACCTTAAATATTGATGATTGACATTTCATTTAGACTTGGAACCACAGGAAGGAAATCTTGAGAAGTCAGAAACAATTTCACTTTAACCAAACATACTTTTTATGGAAATGTAATATACACACAGAAGATCAAAAATGTTCAGTTCAATCAATTTCTACTAGGAAACACCTGTTTAATGAACTACCAGGTCAACAAAGGGAACATCACAAGATGCCGGAAGCATTCTTCATGGCCCCTTTCAGTCACTAATGTCTTTAGCAATATCTACTCTCCTGACTTCTATCACAATAGACTGATGGTGTTGTCTGGATTTAATTTTAAATAACTGCAATTGTACAGTTTGTATTCTCCTGCATCTGGTTCCTTTTGTTTACCATTTATATTTTCAAGAATCACACCTTGTTACATGTAATTGTATTTGCTCACTGGCATTGCTATTCTCCAGGGTCAGAAAACTATAGCCCATGAGCCAAATCTAACTGACTGTCTGCTTCTGTAAATAAAGTTTTATTGAAACATGGCCATGCCATTCTTTTACATATTGTCTATGGCTGCCTGCATGCTACAAAGGCAGGGTTAAGAAGTTGGGACAGAGATCATATGACTCACAAAACCCCAAATATTTAGTATCTGGCCCTTTAGAGAAATTTTCCAATTCTGCTATATACTATTCTGTGGAGTATATGGACCACAATTTATTTATCTAGTCTGCTGCTAACAAGCATTTCAGTAATCCCCATGCTGAGGCTACTATAATTAGTGCCACTATTAACATTTTAGTAAATACCTTTTACTTACGTAAGCAAGTGTTTCTGTTTACTATTAACCTAGTAGGGGAAATGCTGGACTGTATAGACATGTTCAATTTTAGTAGATATTGTCAGTGTTCCAAAATACTAATCTCAATTTAATAAATAGGAAAACTGATGCAGATATCAAAAAGATATTTGTACTCCCATATTTACTGCAGCATTATACACAATAGCCAAGATATTGAAACAATCTAAGTGTCCATCAACAGATTAATGGATAAAGATATATAAATATATATGCATAACATGTGTGTATATTTATATATGAAATAGAGTATTATTCAGCCATGAGAAAGAAGGAAATTCTTCCATTTGCAACAACATGGATGGATCTTGGGGTCATTATGCTAAATGAGGTAAGTCAGATGGAGAAAGACAAATACTGTATGATATCACTTACATGCAGAATCTAAAAAGCTGAACTCATAGATCAGGGAGTTGTTTAAGGGTTCAAACTTGCAACTAGTAGATACATAAATTCTGGAGACTTAATCCATAGCATAGTGGTTAGTCAACAATAACATATTATATACTTGAAAGTTATTAAGAGAGTAGATTTTAATTTCATCACAAAAAAAAGAAATGATAATTCTGTGGCCTGACAGAAGTGTTAGTTAATGCTATGGTGGTAATCATATTGCAACATATAAATGTAATAATTTGACATGCTATACAACTTAAATGTACACAAGGTTATATGTCAATGATATTTCAATAAAAATAATGAATTAAATTAAGTTTTTAAAAAATAAAAGAGAGAAAACTGATGCCCTGAGTTACTGGGTCATATCATAGTGATGAATTGGAGAAAATTATTTTTAGCCTTGGAAAACTCATGTTTTAAGGTCAAATAAAACCTCAAAGGAAAATATTGAGTTAAATGAAATTAAGTTATAAATTTCTGGACACAGAATGAAAAATCATTTCTGCAGAAAAGTATTTGTTGCTCTCAAAACTGGAAAGTGCATTTTATAAGAATCTGGGAACAGAAAAACTTAGAAATAAAAGCCATGGCTTATAAAGAAAGCCCTTACCTTAGAGTAAATGCAGCCATCAGTTCCAAACACCCACTTCTGAGAATCATCTTCCTTATGTCTGTAACGAAAACGTAATTTAGACATTGACAACTTTTTTCCACAATGAAACATTCTGTAGGTTTCAAATAAAAGGATCACTGTCCATGTAGCTTGGCAGGAGAAGGACCACCTACACTCCACCAAGGACTTGACCTTTCTACCATCATGACTGCGACCTCAGCAGCTAAAGCCTTCCCTAAGACAAACAATTTCTTTGGTACCCAAAGTGGTAGTGGTGGTGAGGTTTGTACATTTGTATTATCAATGACAGCAATGATTAAGAGTTTTAGAAAATAAATAGAATCAAAAGAATATTATAGAAATTTCTGTCCCCAAAAAAGATTTTCTGTGAGACGGAGAGATAGGGTCTTAATTAAGTATAAGAATTAAAAGGATGAGATGGAAAACAATAGCATGGAAAATTGGGTATCTCAGGCATTTGACTCTAAAATGGTCAGAAAATTTTATTAAGCAATGTCAGATTTTCTGAGGTAAGTCTGAGTAAGAAAAAACTAAAATGTGATGAAGCTAATCATGACTAAATTAACTAATGATACATTCATTAATATTTAGATACCTCACAAAGGTAGAACAAAGGAATTAAATTAAGTGTAATGGGATGTTAAACAAGATTTCCTACTGCCTCTGAGTTTTGACAGAAACATGAATGGTTGAGAATAAGAGGTGTCAATTAATGCTCTATTCTAAAGCAAGGTGCGGTTTGATCTGGGCAGACCTGTGAAGGCAGCAGTGCAAAACAAGGTCAGTGCACATTAGCATTTCAGCCACATTTAGTTCATATTAAAAAATGTGAAGAATTCTCGGGCATGTTGAAATGGGTGCTTGGTAATAATGTAGGTCTCCAGGACCCTATCCTCAGAGCTTTGATTCTGAAGGTTTGGACCCTCAGAAATCTACATTTACCGGTATTACAGTGGTCCCGATTATAAGCTCTGGGGAATTTGGGTGGGTATGGTCGAGGACCCAGACTTTGGAAAATACTGAACTGGAGTAATGAGAGCAGGGGGGAAAGGAAGGACCACCTACTTAAACTATTATAAAAGGAAAAATGATTTAGTGATTGAATAAATAGGGTGGAGTTAGAGAAAGTAGACAGGATAAATCTCAGATGTCAAATTTGGGTAAGGAAGCAGAACATGACAATATTAAAAGAAAGTGAAATTACAATGGAGGAGAGGGGAACAGAGACGTGAGAAAACACGAAGCATTCTAATATGTATGTTCAAGTTTTTTATGAAACATCTTTCAACAGCTAACTGATCTCTAAGCTAAGAATAACATTCTCAGGTTTTAGACAAATGTAAGTATTGTTCAGTTTCAGCACTGGACAGGTGAAGGAGGTATTGAGAAGTTCTTTTTATTCTGTAATTAATAAAGGAAAGAAAAACTTATAAAAAATTTTTGTCTTAAGAGTGAGGAACTATTGTGGCATCTTACTACACTGATGGACAGTGACTGCAATGGGGTATGGGAGTGGACTCAATAAGGGTGAATGGAATAACCACATTGTTTTTCTTGTGAAACCTTCATAAGAGTGTATATCAATGATACCTTAATAAAAAAAAAAAGACTGGGGATCTAGAATCTACAATTATAAAATAATATTCATTATCGAACACAGCAACACACAGACTGAGAATTTGAGGGGAACTGAGGAGTTATCCTGATCTACTTAGTGTGCGCTTTATAGATGAATGAAGTGATATACAGAGAGATGAAGTGAGCCGGTCAAAATCACAGAACTAGGTGGTATCAAATAAGAACCAGAACCAAGAGAGTCTGACTTTCAGCTCAACATCTTCTCAATTAGATTGGAAAACTGTAACCCAAATTATTTTGTGCAGCTTGATGTTTAAAAATGGAATCAACATTTTGTTTCACTGATAATAATTTGATGCATAATCTTAGTGATCTAAAACACTTTGATATGAACATAGATTTTGTTTTAATACAATTGTGTTCATATAATCACTAACTAGTTTCATACTATTGCAAATTCTCCTGTGGTACTGAAAAAACTATTTCAACCATTGAATGAAAAAAATAACAAAAACAGCATTATTACTTGTCTTTAAGGCTGTCAATCCCAAGTTATAATGACTTATAATTACAGTTCTTCTAATAATAATAATAGTAAAGAGTGATGCTGAAATGCTTTGATGGAAATGTACTGGGTTGTGATAAAATTTAGATCACTTTAATGCATAGGAGCTATAACTCAGTACAACTTTATTGCTTATTGGCTATTCTTCCTGTTGCATAAATTATTGTGAGCAGATTTCTTGAAGATAAAAAAAATGGAAAGTGATAATTTTTCAAAGTGTAAGACATTTACAACTGGTAATTAATAAACAGATGCTAATAGTCTAAATCTGTATAACTCAGAATTTCATCTTTTAACTGGATTATTGTGTTGGCTTGAGGATGAATGTGATCCAAACACAAATTATGTTGGTTTGTTTTTTTCTGAATTTCTGGTATCTTTTCCCAAAAATAATACAACAGGGAAGATGTCCACCATATTGGCAAGACAATGTGTCCTTAGAGCTGACCACAGTGCCAGGCATATGATGAGAGACTAAAGATATCTTTGAATAAATAGATACATGAATAAAATGTCAAAATGTTATCACCCTAAAAATTAATTTGGCAATTTAGGGAATTTAAAAGATATTAGTGGGTAGCTAAAGAACATAAATTATATCTTGGTTAACAAAATAAGAAATAATACTGAAAAAATGAAAAGCATTTCTCAAAATTTTTCAGTTTCAGTTCTGTTCGAGTATATATTTGCCTAGGAAATTTTAATAACAGCATGTAATTTATATCATCTATAAGCTCCATGAGCTTAGTAGTAATTTTCCTATTTGGAGTATATATATATATAAGAGTTACTTTCAAATTTTATCAAAGTTATAAAAAGCAAATCTCTCACATGGTGCCCACATTAGGTCAGATGAGAAATTATCAATAATTTATCTTAAAAAACTAAAATTTCTACAAACAAAAGTGCATCTGTTTATTTTTCAAGACATTTTATATGTAAAGAAATCAAATTTACACCCAGTATGCAATGATGCTCATGTGGCACTGAATTAGAGAATAATGTCATAGAATCTCTTCTTCTTGGTCAACAAGTACCAAGCTAAAACAATTTTTATAAAGAAACAAAACCAAAATTTAAAAATAGTGATGAAAACATCAGTAATGAAAGAAAGAGGAGAAAATATAGAAGCAGTAGTCCATCTAAAATCAAAGTCCAAAATAAATACCATGGCTTGTGCTGGACTACAAGTGAGAGATCTGAGTGCTGGTCTTGGATCTGATATTAACTAGATGTATGACCTCAAATAGATCAGTTAGTCTCTAGTGGCCCTGGAATTTCTTATAATAATGATGATGTTATTATTATCACAACCACCGCCATCACCACTGACACTAACATTATTATTAAAGAGGGGTTTGGAGTAGGTATTCTTTAGAGTCCTTCCTTTTCTGAAAGCATGTGATTCTCAAGACTACTCACATACTCTGATCTTACAGGTGAGGAAACTGAGCACTATCCGCCCTGGAAGCCTGCTGATGGTAACCCCAATGGGCATGCATATGCATTATAGTATTCCTATTGGGAATCTATAAAACATGCATATGTGGGGTTTTTTTCCTTGATAAATATCCCATTTATCAGAATATAGGGGCAAGAAGGCAGCCATGGCCACAGTGAACTGTTCGGGGGAAATTTCATAGGCTAACATTCATGATTTCCCAGTTGAATGTAAGGAGAAATGTCATCATGCTATTTTCCCAGACAGCTTCAGGTGGCTGTCTTCCAATGCTACCAAGACCAAAATTAGGATCCTTAGCAAATGAAGGAAATCATTTCCTCTCCATGTTACTTTAACATAGTAAAAGTAGAGATAAGAAGTTTCATCCTTCAATGTACATATTGTGAAATTACACATGGACAATTTTCTATTTGATGCTGGCATTTCTAATGGTGTTATCTATATGTTTGAATATTATCTAAGTCCAATGCATGGCAAATGGTCCTTTCTACACTGTGAACTTGTTAGAGTCTGTTTTAATCTAACTCTTAGTCTCCTAAACTTCAAGACTTGACCAAGGAGATGGTTTTCAGTCTCTTAGATTATCTGGTGATTTGCTGTCTGTTCACTTGTCAGTTTTTCCATGTCTGCATCTAGCATTACACAGCTACACTTGGCTTGTTTTTAAAGGTGTCCCTAAAGCAGTGTTTGTTTTACCTAGTCTAGATTAATGTTGGCCACTTATTAATGCATTTCCAGCAATATGTAAGTGAAAAACTAAAGTCGATGCAAAAAAACCGTAACTGAATAAAGAAAACAGTAAAGATAACCAGACAGGTAATAGAAATAAAGGAAGCAGGCTAGAGTTAGTGGGAGGGCTCCTTTTGGAAATGATGGAGAATATAGGAAACTGGAAGGTATATGTTCCATGTAGAGGAGAATCCATTTCTGTGTGATTGGTGTCATGAGAGAATGAAAGTTCAGTTTTGCTCACCCTTCTGATTTTTTTCAATAAAAAACAGAAAAATGTAATTTTTTCCGTGAAATCTCCTTATTTTTATAAGCTCTCAATTCATTACAAAATTATAAATTATAATAATGTGCAAGCCAAATAAAAGTACAGGTCCCCAGTTTTGTCTCTATAATCTAAGCTCTGTGTGGATGGATGTGTGTGTGTGTGTGTATATTGCTTTAATTATGAATTTATCACTAAAAAGCAGATCCTACATATTTATATTCTTTAAAAATGAAGTAAAATCAAGATTAAATGGTGACCTAAAAAAGAACTTTGATTCAACTGGTTTGTCTTTAAGATGCCCAAGATATCTTTTAGAAAGAAACATCTTTGATGTTGAGGTTTATGACTGTTATAACTTTTTTATGATTTTTTATATCATTTAGTAATAACATCATTGGTTTGGCTTTCATTCACTCATGGTCAGATGCACATCAC